TATACATACAGTATATATACACACACAGGTAAAAGCATATTAAGATTGTTGTATTATTTATATTTTATTTCATTCTTTGCCACTTACATTGTAAAAGTGATTGGCTATATACTAAGTTTCATTTTGAAGCCTAGAGAGTGGAGTTTGTTCGCTTCTTATTTAAATTAACAAATGAGGCTTGCCATTTCAAAAGCAGCATCCCGTCGTAATTGTTAAACTAGGTTAGCCTATTGAATATGGCAGTACTGTGTACTTTAGTACAGACAAGCCATGATACTTTTACTTGGCAATAATAAGTCGCTTGCCAGTAAATAACTCATCATTTAAAGCTTACAATGTTGAGAATAAGAATAGTAAAATGTCAGTTTTTTTGTCATGGATGCTGGTTTTGGGATGACAAGCCTCAACTGTTGCTATTAATTTAATACTGTATTTACAAAACTAAATATTTCATCTACTTTCAGATTGCGTGAAGTTAAAAGCCAAAAATTAGAAGAGTTACGAAAAAGGCTTCACAATAAAGAAGACGTGCCATACAAAAAGCGCTTCTTCCTAGAACTTCCATTTAAGGTCAGGATTTGTGAATTTTGATAGTTGAATCTTAAAAGTGTGCTTTCTTTTTAACTATAATAATGTATATCAAAATTTTATTAATTTGCAGTCTGCACACAAGAACCATGACTTTGAAGTTTCAGATGGTCTGCAGTTACGAGTACATCCTAAAATTATTAATCGCATTCACCAACATGTCAGAAGAGGAACAACAAATCGGGAAGAGGTATGCAATCTTTGAACTTGTCTGAGCAGAAAAGTGCTATTGTAACAAGCCTCCATTATTTGTTTATCGTCCACTCACTGATTCGCGATGCAGTCAAGAAGCAATCCCTTGTCTTAGAGGTCACGACCCCCTTTACCATCAGCGCAATGTTAAGCGAGGGCCTAGAGTTTGCATATCGTGCGACAGGACAAAATAGTACTATTTTTCAGGGGAATAGTACTTTCTATTGCACGCTTCTTAACCAATCACATGTCTACAGTAAAAGCTATGTATGAGGTATATAATATACACTGGTTACCCTCTGATGAGGGTAATACAAATATTTTATTTAAAGGTAATTCCACCTGTAAAACCAAAGACAAAACCTCAAAACTTTGAATTGATCAGTTACTGTACAGTAATACATACTGTAAATTATTAAGTTTTAATAAGTTACTTAAAAAAAGTTTGCAATAATTTTCAGATGTGTTACTAATAGAGAAAAGAATTGTTGCCAGAAATCTAAAGGTTTATGCAAAGACTAGGAATTTGAACATTTATTAATTGGCGGGCAAAGTTTTTTTCTTATTCTAATTTTTAATGTAAATTTTATATTAGATTTAGTTGGCAGTATAACAAATGTAATATTAGCTGTGTTTATACCACAAATGAAATCACTCAGAACCAAGCAACAATATGCATAGAGTGTTCCTTGTGTCTGCAATAAAGAACCATTCATTTAAGGAATTTTCTTTAGAGAAACTTGCATATGCTTGGAATTTATCCATTACAACCTTAAGCTGTCAATTCAGTGCTTTTTCTTTTTTTTGTCACACTCATGATATTGGAAGAAAATTTAATTGTATTTTACTAAGTCATTTATAATTCAAAAAGTTTATTAATATGTTCTCACAATGCCCTCTGTGTGTTTTCAATAAGTGATTTAATAAGGGTTGTGATCCAGTGGCTTATCAAGTCGAGGTAGCTTATTTGATTTAGTTGTAAATTATGTCAATGACGGAAAGAGTGGTGTATTTATTGTTTCTTTTTAACTTTTTCTACTTCAAACAATTCTTACCATTCTGGTTGTTGATACTCTGTCCATGCACTCCAAACTCGAAACTCATTTATTGTGCTATTTTTATAGAAAAAACATTGTTTATTTTTCATATCATATTTCCTAAAAGATCATTTTTTAAACAAGAGAAAATCAGGACTTTCATAGTCATTTTGCCTCACAATACATTATACTGTATTATACTTTTTATTTCTGAAATTACTTTTTATATTTTAGGTTAAAAGTTTGATTGATACATTTGTAAAGCAAGAGCTCTCCGGTTGTGGTGTTGAACCAAACCCTCTAGATAGGTCGTACCACCCAACGGACCGGGACCTAGCCAATCATATTTACCGTGCCATTAACATAGAGAAGTTTAAACGTATTGACCACAGCAAAATTCATGAGAAAGTCTCAAGTCTTCAAGGGAGCTCAACGGGGCAAAGAATTCTGTACCAGCCTACTACAGAGAAAGCACTTCAAAAGGGCAAAGAAAAAAGTGAAGATGACACTCTCTTCATGTTGCTTTATCAGGAGGCCTGGCAAATCAACCTAATGAAAAGCAGATTGAAGGTGCTTTATGTGATAGATTCTACATACCGAACTCTTAAATATCCGTTACCTTTGTACACTGTATGGATTTACACCGATGAGAAGTTTATATGCGTAGCTACTATAATTATTCAGTGTGATACTACAGACGATCTGGCGCAAGCTCTCCAGTACTTAAGGAGTTGGAATCCAGATTGGCAGCCTGACTATTTCCTCTTGGATGCCCAGCAGCAATGTTGGAAGGCAGTTGAACAGACTTTTCCAGAATCCAAGGTTTGTTCACAAGAAATTATTTTTTGGAAATTTACAAGGTAAATTTCATTAAATTTAAATTAATTTTAATTGTTTTTCTTCTTTAGGTTTTTGTCAGTTCCTTTCATTGCAACCAAGCATGGTCACAGTTTTTGGCATCAACTAAACTGAATTTACGGGAATCATCTCGATTGCATATCTATTCACTTTTACAAAGAGCCGCAAACTCATCCTCCAAGGAGGGTTATGCAGAAGCAGTTGACATGATTCAAACGACACAAGAATGGAAAAGCAGTGATTATCTCCGTTACATTATCAATCGCTTCTGGTTTCATAATTCCTCGGTGAGGTTTTCTCTTTTGGTTTTCCATTCACAGTATTAGAGAGTCGTTCAGTTGGCTAAACTGTTGGTAGCCACTGTGTGTGCGCTGAACCGCGAGATCTGTAAGTCCCCGGTTTAATTCCCCTCGCTGCTCTCCTTGTGTTTCAGCTGGAGGGCTGAATTACAAATTACGATAGCGCACCGTCTTTTTAATGAGACATTTAAGGCGTTGGTCCTGTGTGCAATATGGCCCATTTGTACTTTAAAGAACGCAGTACACTCTTTGCAAAAGAGTAGCGGATTGTCTCCCGGTGTACTGCCCAATTCACCACCAGAAGGACCCCACTGGAAACAAGTCTTTGGACTTAGTGGGTTATCCTTGGTGTGATTCACACCAGAAGTACTCCTATCCCATCCTCCTGTCTTATCTTAGCATTATACATGTATTCACTGTAGTAAAGTACAAGTGGAGTTGAATAGCTTTGGTGGTAAGATGCTTGCCTTTCCAATCCCATGGTCCTGGATTCAACCCAGTATTGCAGGATTTTTTCTCACCACCAAAAACAACTCCACTTCCTAAACCTCAAAAAGGTTTAGTTTGTATAAAGCATCATATGTTACTACAAGTAGGACATTGATATGTATGCTATTGACAATCCTTGGGGCACAATTGTGTTGTGTTCCTAAATAAATAAAATAAACAACAAGGTTCATGGCATTAATAAATCTCAGTAACAGTTTGGAATGTCCAGTATTTCCAAGATAGTGCATAATTATAAAGAGTGAAATGCATTTATTATGTTATATGGATGGTTAGGATCAACAAATCTCTCATGTTTACCTTTTAATTTACTTCATGTCACAAAAGTTATATTATATATTGATATTATTTATTTATCACAGAAATGGGCAATGAGTAGCCAACCAGAGGAATTAGTCTTAGCAATGTCAGGAAGTGCACAAGACAAATTAAAGTACGCTTTGGAATATGATTATCTTCCACATATCTGGAATAAAACCGTTAGTGTTCTCATCGAACTTCTTAGTGAAAAGTTTTTTCCAGAGGTTGTGCGGACGGATGGGGAACTAGAATTGATTAACATGGAGCAAGACTTCGCAGAAATTGTACCAAACGAAATACGAAGTGAAAACATCGGTGACATAGGTAATAAAGATAATTGTGACGATGGGTATTATGATTTAAAACAAACTCTTGCTGTAAACAGTAATACCTTATCAAAATCAGGAGACGCAAAATTAGCATTGATCAAAAGGGAAATCAAGAGTCTATGCAAAGAAATTGATGTTATGACTCAAAGCTGTTCACAGAAGGAAAGTCTTGTAAAAGTTGTCATGTCTTTACGGACATTCAAGAAAGATCTTTTGACAGAAATTACCAAGGATTTTAGAGAATCTCAGAAGCGAGGTCGGAAGCAGCGCACTAAGATGCTTAAGAAGGTACAGAAGCGGCATGATGCAGAGCACGGCCATACATCAGACACTGTCGGTAGCAAGGACACCTCTATTAGTAGACTAAGTGAACCAGCGTACATATCCAATATTCACACATTCATGGAGGAAAGGGTTATTCACCTAGTGCATATCGATCAGACAGAAGAACCTTGTGATGTGCCTAGGGTTGCAGAAGCAGTTGAAATCTCACTTGACCATTCAGAAATGATCCAGTAAAAGGCTTCATATTTTTTGCTGTTGTAATAAAGTAGTAATTCAGTTTTGTTAAAATTTATTCTGGAAGACATCGCACATGTTGCAAATTTTCATGCTGTGATATCAGTGGCAGACCAGTTTTAAAATTCTTGATTCAGGATTGTGCATAATCTAAATTGGCAAAAACTGAATTGTTTCAATCTGTGTCTCATTTAAAGTTGATAACTTATTTGATCCTTTCTAAAGCCCTGTAGAGACTCATATTTTATTTGACAAAAAACTGTTGTATGCCCATATATAGTCATGATGTGCCTATATATGGTCATGATATGATGTCATTTTTGTCAAATATAATTTGATAGTCTGGAAAGGGCTTTATCAGCAATTCAATTATGCATTATTGTAATTATTAGTTTATTTTTATTTTCTTTTTCTGCCACAAGAAAGTATATCTTTAATTTCTGGAGTGGCTCTTTAACAAATTTATGTCAACATGTTCGTTGAATTGTTCTTTTGAAGTATTTTCTTCAAATACAGTAATGTGAATTATTGATTTAAAATATACCATATCATGATTTGATATCTTATTTAATTGAAATTGAAAATAGTTTGGTAGGCCTACAATAGATGTAGTATCTTAGGAAAACATGGCTGTTGACCATTTTATCAGGTATAATTTGAAACAGCGCCGCCAACGTCTCGCAAGCCACTGTGGGACTTCCAGCAGCGTAGTCTAGCCTTACCATGCCAGCTAGCTAGAGTCAAATAGAGTGCCATGCACACTGATAAGTGCGTAGGCCTCTGAAAGTCCCCCAGTGGTAGTTGCCAGGTTATCGGAAATTTTCATTTAACATTTCGCGAAAGTGGTCTATAGACTAAAGCCGGACGCCCACTGTGTCCAACGGTCGACGTGATTCCATGGAGAACGTAACATGATGATGCGCACAATGAGTCTTTGTTAATGGCGATCCGTTCAGACTGCCATCGACAATCAGCAGACAGTTTTATATCATCAAATGTTCAGAAGGAGCAGAGATGGAATTGTCGGCTGGCAGTCATACAACAGTCGCATGACGTAGTGGGTGGCCTGGCTTTGTACAGTAGGTATACTAAGTCTTCGGAAATTTCCATCGAATACCATTTATATGACATAATAGATGAATTTTCATCCACATTAACATTATTATGGAAAAGTTTTTCCATTTGAATTAATTACCATTATTTTTTTTTTAAAGAAAAAAAAAATATATTACAGTACAATGTAATTAATATAGTATTTTTTTTAATTGCTTTACTGTAGGTTTGTACACTGAATGTAAAATAAGGAACGTTTACTATATTTTAATAAAAGATCATAGAAGAATGATATGCCTTTATTGCAAATCGTATTGTTACACCAAACGCAATCATTCCTTGCAATGTTAATAACTACAGGTATATAGAAAACATCTCGAAATTTCGTATTCTGCTGTGAAACTGTAAATATTTAATTTTACATATTAGTTTGGCGCCATAGGTCATATTCAAAAAAAAAAAAAGAAACTAATATTAACAATTTTAAATAGTAAAAGCCCATTTCGCACTTTACATCGAGTGGGTTCGAGACAGACGCTGAGCACAAAACAAGTGTCCTTAGGCAAGACACTAGTTTGTCTCTCTTCGCCCAGGAGTATAAATGGATATTGGGGCCATATGAGTTGAAGATTTTAAAAAGATATTGGTAGTACTAATTACAAATAGTAATAAGAGAGCAGGGAGGTGGCACATAATGCATAATTGATCCAGTAACCAGAGAACAAAAAAATGTATTGAGCAGTTACAGATTTTAAATTGATAAGTGCGCTATATATCCTGCATACATAAATAATAAGAGAATAAATACGAATATATATAATCCACGTAATTCGTAATATACAGCATAAAAAAATTACAAGGAAGGAGAAAGACAAATGAAGAGTTTCACATTCAGAAACTTGCTCATTCATAAAATGTTCACGGTTTAATTTACAAAATATTTTCAAGCCGCATAAGTAACTTATTTAAAGTCACTTTTTATTGACGAGAAGACAGCAAAAACGCTCATGGCAAATCTTCAAACCGTTTGACTGGTGCTACGCCGCTTGGACCTGGTTTCTCCTTCGATTTTTCTTCAAACATCAGAATGCTGAAATTGTGAAAAGAACAAAACAAAGGTTACACAACAGAGTAGTTATTGGTAATTAAGTTACCTTCCAATCTCATTATGGTCTTAAGTTAATTTTCACCAGATTATTTTTGTCACATCACACGAGGCCAAAGTAAAAAATATATTATCCATATGTTTTCATATTAATTTCTTTGTCCAAGGCTCCAAGAAAAAGAATGCTCACGCCCATGGTAACTTTACATTCAAACAAAATAGCAAAATTCGTTTTTTCCTGTTTTCGTTTTCGTTTATTAGGCCTACCGTTTTGAATAGTTATTACCTAATTCTTCCCTAAGCATAATGTATATAAGAGTAGCATATGTATGTAAGAGTAACATAATATCGGTAATTAACAAATATTCTAGTATAACTAAATAATATACTTTTAGTTTATTGGTTAACGGAGCTCTGTTATTATAAATGCAGTTACGGTATTATGAATCTTTCATACTTTTTATGGGCTAAAAATATTTTGTAGTATACCATACTGTATATACACATTTCTGATGAGCAAACTGAACTTTATATACATACGGTAACAGAACGATTGCAAATTAAATATCAATAAAATGAGTCAGATCAACAGTAGAGGATTACATTACAAAGATTATCGTGTTGTGTAAAATACAAAACGAATGTTAAAACAATCAATAAATGCTTTCCAAAAAGGAAGTGAAATTTGGACTCGGTCATCATGTGATTAAAATGAAGAGATGCTGTTAGTATGTGATATTTTATACTCAATATTAATAATTATACATTTATTAACTTTTTGATATTGTAATGCAAAAAATTTTAGCCCTAAGGCAGTCGTATTTGTTATTCCCTTATACCTCAATAAATAAATTTAGGCCTGGCTATAAATTTTTCTTATCAAAGTGGATAAACACTTACATCCTAAGTATGGAGTTCTTCTTTCCAAGCATCATTTGCACATATTCGTGATAGTTGATGGTTCCCGTGCCGTCGAGATCCACCTGAGCTATCATTTTCTTGATTTCCAATATGTTTTTATTTTTACCTAACTTCTCCAGCATGTAGGCAACGTCAGTGGGGTCTAATACGTCAAAAATGCAATTTTAAATAATTTTTTTTAAATACAGTTTTAAATAACAAATTAAATAAAACTATCTTGGTTTTTATTCATGTTTAAAATCTATAACAACTTTTACTGTATACTTAAGCGTAGGGCCTACGACTAGAAAACTTATCGACTTCACCTTATTTTATTAACGTATGGGCATACATTATCGGTAGAACACAGTAATATTTAATTATTTATTTATTTTATTTAGGCCTATTTGGGTTTTTTATATAGCGCTTTTATTTTCAGTACGGTATAGGCCTACGAGGCGCTTTTATTTTCTATGTCATTAGGTCCATGTGCTAAGGTGTTGCTGCTGTAATCAGCACAAGAGCAGGTAACCACACTAGGTATCATTTTTTTCCTCCTGGGCAAATAAGGTGCCTTACCCAAGAATACAAGCGAAATGCACAGCGATGGATTGGAACCCCGAACTCGAGGTTGGGAAGTATTATGGGCTATCAGCTCGGTTATTTAAAATTTACAAAAAATAAAAGTTTTACCTGCTGAACCTTTAGTGATCATAATCATTTTCGTCATCATTTATGTTTTTAATAGGTAAGCTTTTATCTAATGACAATGTTTTATCATTTTTTCATCATTGTAGCTAGATATTATAAAAATATTTTTCTAAATTACCGTGTATGATAATCTTGTATCATCATTACCATTATTATTAATATTATATTTTATATTTCGTTATTATAAATTTACTTAGTTACAGACTTACCCAGGTCACCGGAATCGTCGGTATCATATTCCATAAATTGTGCTGTAAAACCAAAATCAAACATAATTATTGCCAATAACAATAAAACGTTAATGTTATTATTTTGGTAAAATATATATTCATATTTAAATTCCAATACTACTCTAATGTGATTGGATGCCATCACATCCATAAAGTACAAAATTCATTAAAAACAACAAAAACGATTGCAAAACAAGAATGAAAGTGTATCATGTGATTCTGAGGTGATAACATTCATGATTCATGTCTATCTTGTATTTCCGACACATTGTGATTGTTCTGAAGTAAAGGAAATTTTACTTCCTTATAAAATATTACGAAACTATCCTTGGTCTGGAAAAAACATCACAATGATTGTTTTTACAACGTGTTTGTAATACTTTCTTGGGTAGGTAGGTAGAAAATGTTGGTGTGAAACACCCCAAAGATAACCCGAAGACTTGTTTCACAGTACAGGGTCTACACCACCTCAGCTAGGTAAAATTATGATTATTGTATATGTAGATGGCCAGAAATTGAACTTTTTTTGAAATATTTAGAGGTGGTGGGGCTGGCCGACTGGTTTCCCTAGAACTAGTGTTAATTTATATATGCTAAAGGCCAATAAACTTTGAAAAGCACAGAAAACTCAAATTATGAATAGACCTCCTATCATTGCCGCCATACATGCCGTTATAGTCGACATGGAATGTGTTGTTATAATAGAAAACAACAACTTGTTTTATTTAGTTTATGAGTATATAATGAGGTATCTTAAGTGATAATCCAGACACTACTGGAGTGCTAGTACTGTATGACCTGTGTCAGGTCAAGTTAATCCTTATATCATCATCGTAAGGAATTACATTACTTTTGAATGTAGACAACCTTTCTTCTAGGTCTTCGTACTCTTTGTAAGTCTCGGCATCAATAAGATCCTGTTTCAAAAGAAATTATTAGATGAATGCATAATTCATCGACGAAAATGAGTAGCAGAAAACATTTATTTTACTCATTTTTTTTATCATCATCATCATCATCATAAAAATACACAACCCCCATTATCATCATCATCATCATCACCACCATCACTATCACCGTCGTCATTATCATCACCATTCACCACCACCACCACTACCATCACCAACTTCACCATTATCATCATCATCATCATCATCATCAACCTCGTCATCATCATCTTCACCACCTTCATCATCATCGAGATCAGTTTAAGTATTGTATTACCATTGTCATGGTTAATGTTAGTGTTGCCATTATCATTGTCGTGTTGTTCAGGGGCGGCGCTAGCGTGGGTCCGGGGGGGGGGGGGGCAAGGGGGGGGGGCAAAGGACCCACGTCGGGAACCTCTGGACCCCCAGCTTGGATCCCCCTTTCGGGGAATTTCCAGCAAGGTCGTCGGGGAAAAATGAAATCTCGACCGCCGAAGGTACAATTTAGGTATGTCTGACTAAGCTGTCAAGTTTTAGGGGGATTAAATTGGTGCGAGCAGTGCTACCGTTTATGTGAGAGGTGTTGTATACTATCGAGATCGTATGGGTTGCGGTTGTAGCGCCAGATCTTCCCCGACATGGGGCTGGTAGGCCTACCTCGGACAGGTGGTTATTACCCCCGACAGGGGAAATCTTACCTTGCATGGTTTTTCTATCAAATTATCCTTTTTAAATAAAGAATACCATAATCAACACAATTTCGAACACACTTTACCAATCGGCTGTTAGTGAATTATGTTACAAAACAGTATGAATAATAAATGACAGTAACTACAATAATAATTAAATAATATTAATAAAAGGCAGCATTTATATCAAAATAGTGAATACGTACTCTGTTGATTTCATCAATCTTCTTGGCCTGCTCGGTTTTCACTTTTCCCCATTTTGCACCACCTGTGAAGGCAAAGGTACATCCCAAAGTTTTTAAAATTCTAACCGCAATTAACATGAATAGAACATAAAAAGTGTTCATAAGGAAAATTACAGCCCATGGCACACAGTTGTGATCCCAAGAAAGAAGGAAGTAAAAGTTAAATAAGAAGTACAAACAAAACATAGGCATAGGCATAATGTATTCAGCATTAAACGTATGTTAAACTTTACTTTAATTAAAACGGGGTATAAAATTTAAAACAGTGAGCAAAAGATTATTCCCCCCCCCCCCCCCCCCCCCCCAACAAAAAAAATCAATAATATTCCGCAATGACACTGAGACGTAAAGTGGAAATGAACACGTCTAACCGTTATGGTTAATTCCACTTTCCTTAGTAATTTTCTGTCTTTTTTAACTCTGTTTTCTTTCTTTCGGTACGGTATAAAAAATATTAAATAAAACCTTGTTTTATTTGAGTTGAGTGTCCATCTAATTATCGTACCCGACAAATGAACCAACACAAGGGTGCTGGTGTCAACATTCGGGTCATACAATTATTATTTATAGGTACCCTCCACCGATATCACCAAGGTAACTGTGTTACGGCGTCCACACGTCCCGAGTTGAGGTCATTACAGTTGTATTAGAATATTATCGTACTGTATTATCCATGGTATTTCAAGTAAAGACATAGGAATTATATTTGTCTGAGTTGATTTTGGCCTACGGGCTGCCTCAATAAAGGAATTACAAAAATATTTTAGAAAATATAAGTCCATGCTTCAATCAAAATTTCCCAAGCATGAAACAACAGCCTTAAGCCTAGGAAGGGACATTCCCATCTTCTAACACTTCTAACACTTTCTAACACTTCCTTATGGAATAATTCAAGTGGCTCACACTGCGATACGGTTTATCGGAGTTTCCCATTGTACAATAGTACTGTTGCTATGCTACACATAAATCTTTCTGTTCATGGATTCGCCAAAGAGTATTATATTGTTCCGTTTTAACATGCTGGTCCAGGTTTTATAGCCTAGTATTAGCTTTAGTAATCCCAAAAGGAATCCCCAAAACCTTCTAAACAATATATTTTTACATGTTACAACATATCATTCGACAAAGGTTAAAGTAGGGTCTTGGTTTGAACTCCACGTTCAAGTAAAATACACGGATATACGTCGACATATCGTTATTTCAGACCAATCCAAACAACCTTTCTATTTTATTATATCAAATAACATATTTCCTCATAGTAATAGGGCCCTAATATTGTTATACATTTCCTATTGCGAAACGTTAAATATCCGCTGTTTGACATTCCCAGAAATATTCTCACCGTATGGCATCGTCATTTTAATAATATATGTAGGGCCTAGTTGGTGTACAATGTTACCTACATTTTTTTATTTTATTTTATTAATTTCGGCAAAACAAATGACAAAAAAAACGCAATACAACTTTGAATACGCCATGGAGTGGCAAAAGAGGTCGGAGGACTGCTGTCACCAAAAGGCGTACCACTCCAACACTCAAAGAACGTAAAAAATATTGTTAGGCTTAATTGAAATTTTACAAAAATGCCAAGGTAAGCCCAAAGGACTCACTACAAACGCGTTGATTATTTGTTAAACTTCAGGGAGCTGTAAATTAGGGCTGTCAGGAACGTTACAGGGCGTTACTTTTCAATTTTTATGACGCTTTCGAAACATCTGTAGGCCTACTATTATTTTAATTAACAGAAAATATAATTTCAAGTTATCTTAAAATCATTAATCATAAGTATTGATGTATGAATACTTGACTGAAACCCTCAATATTTATTTTAATAGCACTGTATTATTGACTTTCCTATATTTTGAAAGGATCATTCTTTTCATAAGACATCAATCGAAACGATTCGGTTTTCAGTGATTTACAGACTTGCTTCCTTTTAAAATCCTTAAATTTCTACCAGACAATGCTTATCAGGGTAAAGCCGGGCACTCATCTCCGTCGTACGACTGCCGGCCGGCGAATCCAACTCCGCTCCCTGTGAACGGTAGACGACGTCACGCCGTCTGTTGATCGTCGGAGGCAGTTTGAACGGATCGCCATTAAAAGCGATCAGTTGCGCGCGTCGTGGAGTTGCGTTCTCCATAGAATTATTAGCATAATTATATATCTATTCAATGTATGTAGATATATAAAAAAAGTCTTGATGAATTTTCGCTGTTGATATAGGCCTATATGTATTTCAGCGTATTCCTTTGCATTTAAAACTCAAGTTACTTATGAGTATTAAAGCAGTGTTTTCGTCTTCTTTTTATATCATAATTGAGCAAACAGTTTTAGCCCAGTTTTGAATGTTTCTTGAATCCGATTAAGTATGGCCTATATATTATATTATGTGTTCAAATATAAAGCAAAACTGCAGGTCAACTATTACATTTCACTCTCCGTGATTCGAGACCACTTGGACCTGGAAATGTGGGGTAGTCTGAGGGTTCGGTCTCCAACTACAGGGTACCGTAGCTTTTTGTTAAAAGATTGGTAAGTTCGTACTTTGGAAAAGCAGTCTCGAATTAGAGGGGTCTCAGAATTAGAGGATCCTCGAATTTGATGGTGAATATACAATAATTTTGTTTTATCAACTGGCTATTAAGACCTTTATTTATTATTTATTTATTTATTTATTTATTCAACAATATTTCACGAGCTACGAGATAACTTTAATGAAAAGTAATGGATCAGGTGCAAGTTAAATGATATCCACGGAACAAGATAATATAGACCGCCATTGCATAGAAACGGTAGTAAGCTAGAGCAAAAAAAAAGGACCTGTATCAAAACATAATTAGGCCTATTATCATTATACAAATTCCTTTTTGAGTAAAGAAAGTTCAACGTTGGAAGATATAATGTTTTATGGCTACATTAACCGATGTTAATAACAAAGAATAACCTACCAGCTAACATTAGAATTACGCACAAGATTAAACGAATTTGGGATATGAAACCATATCAAGGTTACACAAGCAACCAAGAAAAAATTAAAGATAATTCTAGTGATTGGAATACTAATTAATTTAACACTGCTGATAATACAATTCAAAGGAAAACAAAGTCATTAAGACAGTGAGTAGGCCTACGGTAATGACATTGGGCTTTGAACCGAAAACAGTCCAACCCCACCAGAAGGACCCCACTAGAAATAAGTCCCATGTTCCACTTCTTCCTATCTTGAACATCCTCCTCATTTAGACCAACTTTACAGCTTACTTTCTTCACCATATATTTTTTCATGTAAGATTTGGTCTTCCTCTTCCTCTTATACTGTCTACTTCCAGATCCCATGCTCTATTCACAGTTTCATCATCTTCCCTCCTCAGCACATGACACACACACACACACACACACACA